AAACAACTATTTTTGATTTCGAAGGCTTCCTGGTTCAGCCTTCTAGGAGGGGAGCTCTGTAGCAACCTAAAAGATATTTCTTATCTTATGTACAAATTTGTCACTCAATCGTACATTAGTGGTTTTTGGTTTAACGCCTATCCTACGGCCATTTTTACCTACGTCTGGCTCATCACTTTTGTCCATGGTGAGTTCCAACACTGACGTACGCTCTCATCGTTTCATCCGTTTTCGTTCGATTGTAGACTTTCTCGAATACAGTCCGTTGTGTCCCTTCTTCCGATATTCTGATATCCGAAATAGAAGAAGGACACTCTCGGACTAGTATAGACTAGTCCTACAGATTGTGGGTATCAAGGCTGCTGCCACGAATTTAATTATTCTCTGTTGAGTAGTTTGGCCTCTTTGGCACTTAGAGCACACTCTGTCCAGTTAGTCTATGTCTTCATCCATACCGCGCTAGTAGACATAACCGCGTACGATCGTGTTCCTCCTGCTGAAACCTGGATAAATACTGAGGGAAGTCGGCAAATATGAGGCCGCATTCGACAACGGCCAATAAATTGTGGTGGCAGGAAATTTGATATTGTTCACCTGTACTTCCTTCCGTAAACCAGCTCGTGTGTGCAAACGTAATGTCACCTTGAATAAGCGAGCCGGGCACCGTTGCGTGATGAATCTCGATATCAGTAACCTAAGTCTAACGCGCGGCATCTTAACATTGTCCATGTATATCGTCAGCAACGAATGCAAAAGTAAACAGTACGTCGTCTGTTTGGGCAAGGAAGAGCATGCACATATCTAAAATCCTCAGTAAGTTGGTAATACATGGTAAAATCGCACCTTAGAAATGCGTTCACTCAGCGTTACGGAAGATTAACAAAATATACCAGTAGACCGTAACTGGCTACAGAAAGGTCAGCGTTAATAGTTTGCCGTCAGCGAGCACGGTAAAGTGGCGGCGAAACAAGAAATTGTGAAGTTTCCTAGCCATAAAGCTAATAGCCGAAGCCTCGTTAGCCATCTGGATGTAATTTTTCTCGACTATCTTTAAAGCATGAATGGTGGCCTTTTCAGACCCGTTTGGGAGAGCATCGGAAATGGCTGCCCATAGCAGATACTTGAAAGCACTCGCTGCTGCCACAATGGACATCTTCAGCCCATAGTGTGTTACCAGGATGCCTGAACCGTATATCTTGGGTTTTACATATGCAACTTGACATTCCGCGGACCATGAGAAATTTGCTTCTTTTGTATAGGATTCAGTGGTGTTCGGGCATCGTGTGCTAGTTGCAGGAACGCACTACAGTAGCTAATCAAGACACGGAAGAACCCTAATGTGGTGATATACTTCTGTCCAAGTACCTTTTGGTTCGATTGAACCTTTTGCATCTAGATGGCGACCGTCCGTGACGAATGTTAAACCGATGTACTCAATCGACGAGAGGAAGAGCTGACATTTCTCTACTCGGCGTTGGGAATCAAATTCCTTCGTGTGGTCGGGTACCGAAACAATACGTTAGCATAACTTGTTCGTCGGTCTTCCGACTAAGATCGGATTGTCCCTTGTAGGTCACTGTACCCGGTGGACAAAGCATTATGGTATAGCTACCTGTCAACAGATGGCAGGGGCAGTTTTTATACCAAAGAGATATCCCCCCTGTATTTGAAGAAACGTATAAGGATTTTTTTACCGTACCCCGCTACCGGCATGCACGTTCTACTTCAAATTGTTGGTGCGCTTCCACCAGACCTAGGTCGTCAAAGAAAATACCGCTATTAAGCATTGTGTGTAAACTATTTGGTACGGGAAGCTGGTAGAATGGCTGTTCCAGGGAGGCATTGACGTACATTAAATAGCAGCACATATGCGATCGGATCCAGTAGACTACCTGACCACAACGATAGAAACGACCTAAGAAGAATACGGAGCGAGATTCCGAACAACGATTTCCTCTATATGTTTGCATTTATAATCCAAGATCGGCTGAGTATTCTGGGGTACTACAATTTTCAAGCGCTGGACGGATAAACTGCTTGATCCTAGTTAAACTGGAACTTTAATACAGGCGCATAGATCAATGCACTCTCTTGAAACTTTGAAGGATTGAAGCGTGCTCAGTTTACTTATTTATGAGGCCATGCCGTTGCAGTGCACTAAGTTGTAGATAGAACGAATCGACAACTCCACGCGACGTAGTTATTCAAGGCAGTCAAGCTCGAGGATGTTTAAAGCAGTATGGGAAAGGAAGCAGGCAGCGTCAGTGAAGTGTCCGCGAAGGACACTAAGCAATGCAGTCGTCCAGTTAACTACACCGAACCACTGCGAATACTGGTGACTGTTTGAATGGTTAGCCGAACCTTAAAACTACCAAGTGAGCGCTAGGACCTAATCTAGTAGTTTGTTATATCGAATGCTGTGTTTGTCCAAAGGCGAGCTAGGAACACGTAGATTTGAACCAGGAACACTTCCAGTTGTAGCAGCATTAGCTTGAAAGTGACGAGTAGATAGCATGAATTACTAACGGTCTTTAAGTCGGACGTCCGCAATACTTCAGAATTGGTTTCGGGCTATCATTATTAAACGACGGCGACTTGCAGAAATCTTTGTTCAACTGTGTGACACTGACGGTAAAGGCATTCTCTGAAGGAGTAGAACTTGTAGTAATGCTCTGGATCGCAGTAGCGAAAAGCAAATAACAAATTATCCGAATTAACTTGGCTAGCAGTGGCAGACTGCGATCACGACCTCTGTTAGGATTTGGTAGCGGCGACTGTGGGGACAAAATTGGGGCGTTAGCTGGATCAGTTCAGGATAGTGCTTTTGATTGGGTTACTACTCACATGCTTGTACTAATTGTACTAGTGTGACGTCGGATGTCTAAAGTATATTAGTCAGTAAGCTGGTTCGTAGAACTGCGGTGCGTGTTGCTTGGAAGCTGCAGACATATCCTCCGCAACAAATTCATGATTGCAACGACCACACACATGTCTGAAAAGCCCAAGGTAGCTGACAACCTCTTTGGCGTCTCACCTGACTATTTGTAAGTACTGAAAGCAATGCTTAAACAAAGATGAGGTTTTCTCGAAAACTAACCCCTTCTGCACCATATCTTTGAAGCTACCTGACCGCGGTTCGACTATGAGGAAGAAATTCGACTGACGGGTGTGTTCGCTGTACAAAAGCACCGTAAACGAAGACGAACTTTCGTCTCGTGCTCTCGGTTTTACTGAGCAACCAAGTGTTAATCCTCGTACAGCTTGTACCAGTATTCGAAAATCCCATCGGTTTATGAGTTACACAGGAAATCAGGTATGCTTTTGGCTTTTTATTTCACTGAGGACAGGTCCGCGGAGGAAGGTGACTCGAACGTGGCGAAATTCGATACCAGCAACTTAAACAATTTGATCGGGACTTACATCATCCGCTTCAGTTCAATATCGGTAGACATGGCTGAGCGGCGAAAATCAACACCTCGGTCGCCAGAAATTTGGTGCAGACCGGACATCGCATGGGAGACAGCTGCGGATCCGATTCTCCTCGTCCTGCTAATAACGATCGATCTTTGCGGATAACTGTCCTATTGCAATCCTTATAGTAGCAGCAAGCATATGCAACAGAGCTCTTAGTGCCAGATCACTTAACGTCTGTAGCCTCTAGTTTGATGGCTGCTACCCAAACTGAGCAGCTTGGTATTAACCCAGTTATGTCCTGTGTTCCGTTATCGGAACAGCGGTCACCTGTCGGTTATTTTTATCTTAAACATCAAGGTCGGAAAGGCAGTCGGCTTTATCACTTCCGCCTGACTCTTGGGTCTCTATTGTATCTCCGCATGCACGTGGTTAGTCAATGATGCCGATTCAGACCTGCAGCCATTCTGTGAAACATTGACCTGTGTTTTAGATGCGTTTTTTCGCAGAACAATTCCCACACATGTAACTATAACTTCAGTGTATTAGGTCCTACTGTTGCCATGCTTGCTTTGACTGCTCTACTGGCTTTACACTAACGTGCTTTATTGAGACTAACGTACTTTTCCGTATTTTTCCTTTTTTTAGTAAAACCCATGTTTTAAACAAATCCCAACATCCTGAGAACGCTATCGTTAGATGAAATAACTGAGATGTTAGAGACAAACGACGACAAAAATGTCATCGCGAGTCATAAAACCACCTAAAAAAGCTACATCAACTTTTTACTTTATCATACTAAACATATGTGCATTTTCTGTTAAAATTCACGATTTCAAATCTCCGGTATAAATGGGTTAATACCGCAAGTGTAGTTCATTTCTAGTCAGTTGACTAACGGCATCCGCCCAACATGGAACCACGCTTTGGTACACATCCGTATGAAAATTACTCATTCATTCTCAACCGGGGCCAAATGTTAAAACTTCTTACTCATCCCCATTCTTCATAATCAGTAAAGGTTTCATCGTCAGGTCAAAGTGGATCATTAGCTCTCAGTGATGAAAGAGACTGGTGGCCTGATATTCCAAACGCGACGGTTTTGACGCACCATTGGAAGAAGTGCGCCTACGTAGTTTGGAGTTCGAATGTTGGTTGGATTTTTTGTGGTTGCGATCGGGTACTCGTGGAGCTGATTCTAATTCTATCAATCAATCAGTCTGAGGTTACTTGTGAGTGGCGCATACTTCATACAAATAATTGAGGGTCCTTCGCACAAGCTTCTTGCTCAATCATCTCCCTCTCGTCCACAAACGCACAAGAGGGTAGATGATTCTTGGTTGCTGACGACCTGAAAACACTGAATACCACGACGCGTTTGGACCATATTTGATCTCATCTGGAGGAGATAGTAGGCCTCTAACCCGAGGCCATTGTACTATTAGGCGGCTAATGCTAGAGTTCCTGGGAGATTGCTGTGACAACTTATGTTTTGACCCTCAGAAATATCGTCGTATGCGAGTGCCCAATTTACCAGCGTAACTAGGACTTACCATGAATTTATTGTTTAGGTAAAATAAAAAACTTACCACTTATGCAATATTCCTTGTTTGATTGGACGATATCCTGAGTCTCCAATAAAAGTGTCCGTTCCTCGCACATCCGTGGGCGACATAGTGTTCGAATCCTCTTCATGAGAAATGCAATAAAACACCGATGTGGATAATTGTTTATATTGATTGAGTCAGCTGATTATGCAGTCAAAAATTAAAGTGATTTTAATCATGCTTGTCGAGCAAAATTAACGAAATGGATTATTTGGAGACACTGTAGGTGATTTCAGGTAAGCCCGGCTTCCTCTGCACCGCTAAGCATGTGCATATACTTAGCTGTAGTCATTTCAAGCGGGCAAACCAGGTTGCTGCTTACGTGTTGGAGACAGCATCGAAATTTTCCTGCCTTGGGAGCATAATATCAACCGACCTCCAGTTGACAAGGTACGTGCGCATTCGCTTAACAAAGGAGGCTGCTGCGTTTGGCAAACTGGGGAAACGTGTGTAGTACAACCACCAGTTTACTGGTGGAACGAATTTACTGCTATCCAAGTCGATGGTACTGTCCGTTCTTCTGTACTGCAGCGAAACGTGAAAGCTGTACCGAAAGGCCTTCCGTTATCTGGAGCGCTTGCATCACCAGTGCCTACGTCGGATTCTACGCATCGGCTGGCATGAACGAATATCAGGCACGGAAGTGCTGCGCCGCAGTGGCATGTATGCTGTGAACTGCATACTTCTGATGCGGCACCTGAAGTAGCTGGAACAAATCAGCTCCATGGATTCGACACGCATACCCAAGCAGCTGCCATATGGACAAATTTGTGCAGGGAAGCAGCACTTTGGAAAACCAAACATACCCTACCAGGACACGACCATGGTGAGGTTATCGCGAACTAATGTTAATTTCAGATATTGTGAAGCGATGGCAGGGATCGGTACCAATGGCTTAAGCTAATCAAGTGGGTGGTTGCCCAGGAGAAGGAGAAATCGCTACTGCATGTAAAATAGAATAACCCCGTGCTAAAGCGACACTCGCCGATAGAGTCTGCCTCATCGACGTCCAGCGCACAGTGCAGTAGTACATGCGGTCGCGAGTGGCTAGGCCAAGCCGCTTTGGAAGGTCACAAGTGTGGGGCCATGTGCAGCGAACGGATGAGTGAACTAGGTATGTGGTCCTCATCAGCTCAGCGCATAGTAAACACGATGTTTTCGATTCCATCCTATTTACTAAAATAAACAGTAGATGTAACACGCGTGCTACACCATCGCTGCAGTTGGATTGTGCGTGTGGCTGCGTGTTGAGTTTCCTGCATTTCAGCTATTGGTTGTTGTTTGATATCTTTAGTGTGGTTGCGCTTCATGGGAATGTTGACGATTTACCTAGCTGTCTAATATGCGCCGCCTTGATTAATGGAGACAGGTATCCGTTGCTGGGGGACGTGGTGCACGGTCTTCGTGACCGTGCTAATCTCAAAGTGTGGTTCTATGCATCCAGCGTGAAACGGACCACTACCCGCCCACCGCCTTGGCTGGTGCGCATGATTCCCACACGATAACACGACAAGGAAACGGCTGCCGAACCAAAAGTATCGACGGATTCATTTGGTGGTTTTCCTGTCCGTCTGCACTCGTAGCCGAGTAAGCTACCCGTTTACTTTGGATTATGTGGTCGGCTGCGTCGCATCCCTAGCCTGGACGTCAGGCGGTGCAGTTTGGTGTCGAATCTTCACTTCACATGCGGCCACACCAAAGGGAAGCATGACAAGCGTGACTCTGAGCGCACGTGCGGTCAAACAAAATGTCGATTAGACGGATTTAGTTTGGAGAACACGTTGGGCTTTCTTGGGACACGTATTCATGCTGCACGGAAATTGCTGCAGGACCAGTTTTTCGGACTATCTGCTGATAGCCAGGAATGCTATTGATGTGCATGTTAGGGAAACCTGGCTTTTATCCCCATACCTCCATGTCTTATTTCTTCTAGTTTACATTGAAGATGGGTTGTGGGGATGGAGTTGTGGGTGATGCAAGACAACCCACCCATAGACCCTCTGTAGATGTAGCCGTCCTGTGGCTAACCCCATGGAGGCCGTGGTGACGCAAAATCGGAACCGTTTGTCACCAATCATGTTCTGTTGCACATGTAATGATCATGTTGAGATTATCATCCGATGTCTTTGAGTTGTGCTGCTAGTGGCAACAATACAACTCCAAGATTCGTTTATGTCTACCATGCGGACGTGACAACTCTATTGGACTAGGTAACATATGGGATGCTGTGTGTAATCAGGAGGAAGGTAAGTTACCGCAGGCTATGCTGTGAACAAGTCCTCGCGTCAAACTAGCCTAAACATTTCATTACTCTAGCATGTTAGAAGAAATATTTACCTATCCTCTATATATGGTGTGAACAAAGCCATAATCAGTTTTCTTAGTAAATAACTGAGAATTAATGCGTAGAATGTTTACTAGAAACAAAATTGCAGTCACGAGTTGAAGATATGCGAGGAGATTTACTGAGCATTTTCATGCCACTCCGGTCCGGTCGGTTTACTGAATATTGGAATAAGTTTGCGTTTATCCCACGACACAAATCCTTGTTGAAAGGGGCATCCGAAACCACATCTTATTATCCACATTGTCTTCCTCTCGGGAATGTTAGTGTGCATTTTCAAGAAATATTTGGTCTCCCCTATCATCACATCACTTTCTTTCGCCTTCGCAATATGGCTTCCTGAAATCTCATTCCTGTGTAACCTGCCATTTTTACTTATTTATCTAGCTAACTGATAGGCTTCATCCAGGGGCTCAGTGCAATATCATGATTTTAGCATGCAAAAGCATTTAAGAGAGTTACATACGAGAGCTTACTAAATAGAAAATAAGTACGTACGGGACAATAAATTCACTTCTGCCTTGGCTCCAGTGGTCATTAGTATGAACATTACCTTTCGTCTATATACTTAAAGGTATCTCTACACCCCAAATATCGGACTAGTGCATGAACTACAATAGCACTGGATGCTTTTCAGAAGATTACTGTTGAAATCATACTGACCGAATTCCTTTTAGATCGCCCTGGGTCCAACCAAAACGCAGTGGCTTTCTAGTGCATTCAATGTTGTCATCGCTACACAGAAAGAACAAATACACGCGTGTCAGCTTACTCGAGTACAGCAATGATTTTGACAGTGCTAACCATAAAATTCTATTGCAAACTTCTGGTATTCAGCCTTCCCTAGTCTGCTTCCTAAAGAATATTTGCACTTGACGTAATTGGGTTTGGCGGCGAAAGCTCCTTGCCCCTTACCACGACGTCCGATGTCGTTGTCAATATTCATGTTCTCTACTTACGCTAGCTGTTTAGTTGTCCCAGAAGAAATCATTTCTTTAAACTACGCTGATGACGTAGTCATCGGTGTAAAGTATCCTACCTCGGCCTCCTCAACCAAGCTGCAAAGTAATTTGGGTGGACTGGTGTATTGGTCGAATTCTCGCTGCCTGACGCTGAACGCATTCAATTATAATGTTAATCGGTTTTCATTTCACAATGCAGCTCCTTATCCGTGATTTGCCACGGGATGTCCCAAACTTCAGATCGATAGCGAAAGCTTAAAGCATTAGAAAGTCAGTAATGTTGCATGGAACCATACTGAGTCACGATTTATCAGGATGGCTTTATGTGCCTAGCACGTCCACTACAGTCACGCAACGTATCTCGATTGCAATCTCCACCCTACCATAAAATTCGGTTCTGAATTTCATCACGGCGTGCATGCTACTATTATGAACTTATTACTCTTCTCTGATTTTTCAGGTCTGCTGTGTAAGCAATCCCAGTTGCACGGCAGGACACTGAAACACTTGTCTCGCTGCACTGATATTTCAAATCCGAATTTGGCTCAAACAAAACGGCAGCTATGTTTTATAGGATTGTGCAAGCAAGCTGTTAGCTTGCCGCAACCGAACAGACCAGTTGATTGGACGCCTGCGCATATTTCGTCTACCTGCTGCTCGGTTCACCGGAGCGGGTCTGTTTAACTGCTTCAAAGGTATAGTCTTATAAGTGCAGCAACGTTGTTAGTTGTGGAAAATGATTTAGTTATTTACATCGAGTTTCCTATATGCTTGTCATTTCTGCTGAGCTAACTTTGCTGAATAAACCGTTGTCCATGATGGACCCATTTATGCGACACGGTGTTACAGAAAACCAAGCCAAGACCACCGATTGGTGTTTAATTACTGACTGGAGCACAAAGAACTGTGCAACCACCAGCCCCATTAAACATAGAAAAAGGAATTTGGCCAATACTTGGAGAATCTTGAAAAGTAAGTGGGTCGATTTCTATGTACTGTTGCGGCTGAATGAACAACCACCGGCGTATCGATTTTCAATATTTAGATGTACGATCGGTGATGAAGGATGCCACATCTTTGAAACGATGCAGTACGAAAAGACGAGGACCCAGCTGATCTGGAAACTGTCATCCGAAACTTCAGTGATTTCTGCGAAGGCCTGACTAACGAGACGGATCAGCGGTATCCTTTTTATCCGAAACTGGCGCCAAACGAAACTAGAGAAAACTATGTTACGGATCTGAAGATCCTGGCGCATTCCTTTAATTTTTGCAATTGTATGCCTGACAGTCTAACCTGAGACATAATTGTGCTAGGTATGGATGATGAAAACATCATCGAGCGGCTGTTGTGGCAACGCTCAGACGAAGTCTTGATATATGCCATAATGAGTCATCAGCTGCATAACACGTCCAGCAAATGCGGTTGCCGACTGAAGCAGCGCTATGTGCAGTATCCAGTTAACCTGATAAAACTGCAAAGCCTGTTATCAAGTTACAAGAAACTTACAAATTTTGCGCCTCTAGACACGCGAAGGATCGCGATCAATGTCCCGTGTGGGGCCGAAATTGTGCCAAATGCGGCAGACGGAATCATTTCGCTCGATGTTGTCAGTCTTCAAAGAAAATGCACTCAATCATAATACAACGCCCTCCGACTTTGAACAGTCAATCAGCAACGTGTGGCGGAAAGGACCAATGAAATGCGTCTATATAAGTTTATTGGTTAGTGACGAAATGCTATTTTCCAGTTAGGTCTGGGTGCTACGATAAACCT